TGCCCTGCACTTTTCAAATGTCCAGAGAATGTCTACTGATCCTTTTGTATCTAGGAGAACATCGCTAAAATGGTTCGAGTGGTCTTTTACGTAAATTTTCTCTCATCGGGGCATGGAAACCGCAAAAGGAGAAGAAGTTACTGCATTTGATATTTGTCCTCGCCGTAGCTGTAGTCCCGAAACTCCGCCTTCTCCATCTGTGGTGGTTCCAACTGACTGAAGCGTCCAACCGTTGCCCATACCAGCTTCAGTGTGACGTTAGCTGCCGCTAGAAGTAGCGCGCCAGAACGCCGTGTGAATGCAACGTAACGGCTGGCTAATGTGTTTTAATGGTTTCACTATTTTTAAAAACTGCACAGTCGAATTTCAGAAAAGGCGTCGCTCCTTGTCTTACTATGCACAGAAAGGAATATGAAAGTAGAGAGTCAGAAAAAGTGCTCGACTGCGCGCACACGTGGTCGCATAATTCTGACCCATCGTGTTAGGGGGAAACTGGGAGGTTTCGGGTGTGCGCTAAAAACTGCCTTGGGAGTTTCTGATTAGTCGCTCTCTGTTGAAAGTGGGGGAGAAGAACGTCAATGTGTTGACGTTCAGTTTACATTACTGGCATTGCTGACTTCTTTCCTGTCTTTCCACTATATCGGTTTAGTGGGCATGATAGCAGAGCACGTGCCCATCACATTACGTTGAATGGTGCATGGCAGGAAGTGGTGAGATATTTGTGGCCCATTTCCACCATGACACATCAAATTGGAAATCAATCATAGCCACATATGGTCATAGTTTAGGTGACGCAAAGTGCTAATGATTTTAGTGGTCCGCTAATATTTCGGACTGTAATCTTTTGCGTAGGCGTTCAGCATCAGTATCTGTCTATCCAGTAATCTGATCTATGCAGATTTGAAATGTTGGCTTCCTGCTCTCGCCAAGGCATTAGACTGAATAGGTTGGCGTCGAACTTGCACCGGTTTCGATCTGTGAGCCAACATGCTGGTGAATCTAACCTTTCTAAATGATCCTTAGCAGCAGCTCTTTTTGGAATTCTACCGTAAGCGACATGTGGCTCGAGCTTTTATCCTCATGTTCACGAAAGCCGAGGTGAGTGCAACATGTGACGAACACTATGGCCCAATTCCATTGCTGGGCCAGAATTCAATTACCGAGTGAAATTATTATGCTTTAGAATTCACATTGTGCGCAGAACTATGACAAATTTTGACACAGTCAAAGCCCTGCTCACAGTTTCGTAGCTGCTCTTCTCATGTTAGCTTGTGTCACTCTATGTGTGTTACACGTTGTATAATAGGAAGTGAGAAAGCAAATTTTTCTTCGCTTGAGACGATAAAAGCAACTGGTCAGGAGGGAAGAACGATATTTAAGGATGGGGCCTTGCGCGTGAGGTGTTGTCGTCAAGGAGATATGGGGAAGCCTATCTGTTTAAGAAAGGCTTTGAGGTTGAATAATTATGTGTTACTTCCACGCCGCTGAGGAGAGAGCAAAGTTGTTGGCTTAGACTACGCTTCCTTCACAAGAAAGTCAACTAACAAACATCAGGACTGAGCACGCATGCTCAGGTTTTTGGGAAGAAGGGCACAGAAATAATCATTAATGTATGTATAATATATCGTGTTCGGCTTTGCTCCACTACTTTTATCATACGGAACACATCGAGATGGGAACAAACTATTCTGGAATTTGATTTTAGTCGGGACACGCTGCGTCTGCTGTGAGCCTTGGCCTTCCTTCCTTGGCCAGCTTCCAATCCCGCTTTCCCCGTCTTCTGACTAGCTTGTAATTTTAGTGTGAACGTTTTGACTTTGGTGTCGTGCACCCGACAGATGGATGAATAATTATGTGTTAGTAGTATGAACGTTTTGACTTAGGTGTCGTCCATCTGTTGGGTGCACGACTGTTCTTCCAACGACAATCGTTTGACTTCTCTTTCCTCTCTGTTACCTACTAGTTTTCCGGCGTTAAAGGTGAAAAAGTCTGACTGTTCTAATTTGAAGGACCGGCTGGCGTGCACTCTACCTTCCACCAAAGTGTGCTAAGTGTTTTATTGATGTGACCTTGTCCTCAGGGCGCAGTTAGGGACGTGTCTCTCATGGTTGTTATCAGCAGAAAACCAGATAATATGTGACGTGGGTTACCAAGACCGCGTGGCATTTCTTATCAGCTGTGAAAACACCTTTCTTGACATTATAGCTAATTGCAATACTTTCAGTTTTTTGGAGTGGTTCTGATAATGTGACTATTTGCTTAACAACAATACGGCATCAATATCTCGCACACTAGGTGTTACTTCTCCCACGCCGGACGATATGGTAACCGATAAAAGACAAAGAAATCTCGGGTTGCGTAGGACCCTTGGATTCTCGTCAATAACTGCACATGCCGGTGACTTTGTAGCTTGATCCTACAATGCAAAGTACCACTCCCTCCGATGCGGTTTGTATAAACTCTAAGCCACGAAAGGTCTTCCAGGGCGTGCGAGCTTTTTGAAAACGGTCTTTTGCATGATATAGGGGCAGATGCGGGAACCACAGAACCATGTTCATTTTTCCTGAACGGCCCTCTGAATACCAGAAAAGGGGGTCCCTAGTTCGATTCCTCGTGGTGACAAATTTTTGCATTTCGAGTTGACGTTCCAAAATTCGCGCAAAATGGAGTTAGCATGAATAATTAGTACCATATTCATGATTAGGTAGGGCCGTCAGTAACCCTTACAAAAAGACTTTGACTTAAAAATTGGTGTAAGAGGTGTGACACCAAGCAGCCCCACTGTGGTGTCACACCTTTTTCACCAGTTTTTTAATCAAAGTCTATTTGTAAGGGTTACTGACGGTCCTAATCATGAATATGGTACTAATTATTCATGCTAACTCCATTTTGCGCGAATTTTGGAACGTCAACTCGAAATGCAAAAATTTGTCACCACGAGGAATCGAACTAGGGACCCCTTTTCTGGTATTCAGAGGGCCGTTCAGGAAAAATTGCCATGGTTCTGTGGTTCCCGCATCTGCCCCTATATCATGCAAAAGACCGTTTTCAAAAAGCTTGTCACGCCCTGAAAGACCTTCCTGGTAAGTGCTCGGAAGCAAAAGTGGAATACCATACGACTGGCTCCTCAAAAACCAAAAGCCAGATGCGGCTGGAG